TTTGTAATATTAATTACTTGTGCAAAAGTAGTTACTTTTTATGTTTGGTTTGGTTGCATCACACTTAGGTTCTGTGAGGATCAAGCACACAAATATTCTGATTGAAAGAGGACCAATAACCAGAAAACTTTGTGGGGGTTCAGTTATATATTTTTTCAACATCGCATTACTTCCATCCCGGAGGCCTGCAGTTCAGTCACATGCACATTAGGAGAAGATCACACAGCGGGCAGGCAGGCCTCTGCTGAACTGGCTGTTGTCAGGTGACTCTCTCTACGGCTTCAACGGTGGCAGATCCCAGCAGGGGACGTTGCTGATTGCTGACTACGCACACAACAATGTCGCCTGTGAACCCACTGCTTTATGGCTGCCCCGGCTTTGATGCAACATCTAATTGGCCGAGATGAACTGTTGCTGTGGCAGCTTGGGGCCCAGCTCCACTGTATGCCAGTCCACACAGTAACTGTCTGCATTTAATTAGGTCCCCTCTGCCTCTTGTGTGTGTGTGTATACTGTATGTGTATCGCTGTGTACATCTGCCTCTATGTTAGCAACCACTTCTGCGAGTCTCAGTACACGTTCAGTATTAAAAATAACAATTTATTATTTATCCCAATGCAGAATAATCAGAACGGTAAATTTCTTTCGAGAAAGGAAGGTGGAGTGGTTACACTTTACGGGTTATCTGTGACATGATGAGGTGAATGGTAGAATTAGTATGGAGAGGTTTTGGGCTTTATTGCCCAGTGGTTTGTTTTCTCAATTCTTAACGTAGCTGGAGGTACTAGTGATTGACTTGGACAGTCGGTGACAGGGTGCGGTCGAGTAGAAGAAAGAGTGAAGGGTGTCGTAGTGGTTTGTTGTCGCAGGTCCTTCACTTCTCAGCGTTTGGCGATGGGTCTGGAGCCTGTTGTCGCCACGGAGGGGCTGTGTGTGAGTGGCGCTTTGTTTAACTTCCTCTCAGTGCTGGAGAAACCAGCAGGGCCTGGTAATGAGTCTGCAAACAGGACTCACGAGGAAGAGAACCGCGTTCCTCATTACTAATTGCAGTGACTGATGGCAATGTGTTGCTTGGTATTTTAGCAAGAGGTTCGGTTTGAAAGGATATGGTTTTAATCATAATCACTCATTGCACTTCATGACAATACCAAATACATAAAAGAACAGTAGAGCTACCAGCTAATGCATAAATCAGTCATACCTAACAGCTACATGAAAGTTGTGTTGGCAGTTACATGCCAACAGAGATTTTCATGTTAGAAATGGAGGACAATTTTAGAAGCTGTGCTGCTTTGTTTATTTGCATAAAATTGAAGAAATACCACAAAGTATCATGTGTCTCAGCTTGTGCTGAACTCACCAGTGCACAATGACTGATTATGGCAAATTACTATCCCTGTACGAGCTGCCGAGAATCTGCTCTCTGGCTGTATGCAGCCCTGAAGCAGGGGAAGAGAAATTGTTCCGCCCAAGTACCATAAAAACAGATTGGAAGCTCGGCACTGTGAATTAGCTGCACAGGAAGCCCCCTAAACCCCTTGTTTTATTCATGAGCATGAAGGCTATCGGAGTCTAAGAAACCCCTGTGGTCTCGCCTGCTACATCAAGGTTGCGTGCCGCGTCCATGGAAGGTTGCATTTTTTTTTAAAATGCCACATTAAAAAGCATCAGAGATTAACTACTGCTGTTATTTGAAAGTATATAAACAAATTATTTACCCTAATGCAGTGAGAGAGATCAACCCAGCAGCCATGTTGAATGATTTTAATAAGCAAACCATCATTCAATCCATGGAATCCTGCTTGAAATGTCCACAAGTTACATTTTGGGGTTTGGGGCTTTGTTTGGGCAGCCAGGGGAAGAGGGTGTAGGAGGGGAGTGGAGGAACTTTTCACAACTGTTGAGAAAATGCATTGTTGTTGGTAATCCTTTGGAAATTGAAATAGGGAGAGGGAGTGGCTAATAAGGGAGAGTGATGCAATGGACACACACATGGCAGCGCCACACTGGAGCACTGCAGAGCCTGAGAAGTTGGTGGTAGCCACAGGAGGTACAGTGGATAGGGGCCACGTGAGAGGAAGGTGAAGAGGCCACATCTGCCAAAATTGCGGAGGAGTGTACTAGAGAAAATTAGCTTTCAAGTTACTAACATCTGTGTTTACTGTTACACTTGCCACTGTCACTTTCTACAACTTCTTCACAGTTTATTATTATAGCAATACAACATACATACCATAGAAAATGCTCGGCTCTTAAAACTACAGAAGCAAAAACTGTGAATGAATGAAGACACTATTCCCAACAAAATATTAATTATTTTACTGAATACATTCTCTCTTATACTCTTTTATAGTATTAAATCCAAATCGGAACATAAACTGCATGAAATTAAACAGGAACAACTTACTTTACCAGTGAGAGGGCGATTAATTGGTCTATTTCCCATTATGCTAATAAACAAGCAATAATAAAGAAATTGCCACTGTGACAAAAATTACCCAGTAGGAGGATATTTATTGCTTGATTATTATATATTGATTATTTTTACTCCCCTTGAAAGCTATTAGATGTATCTCACATTGTCAAGCCACAGTATATGTAGAATTCAGAGCCATGTGTCCTTGTTTACTTGGTTTGTCTGGGTGCCAGCATTTCCTAATTGTCCTCTCTGAATTTAGCAACTTGGTCTCTCGTCATTACGGTGGCACTGAAGTCCTAATGAGTGGAATTGTTATCTGAAAGATGGCCCCCTTTTTTCCCTGCTGCGAAAGCACATTAGATCCAGACAGCTCATTTCCATTCCCCCTGTCATCTCTCTAGAAATGACGTGCAGTGCTTGAAACTGTTTATTTCCAAATTCAGACCTCCTCCGCGGCAGCCATCGGCTTCAATTACCAGTTTTTCCTGAGCGGAGCCATCAGGCAGCCTGACACTGAGGTCCAACCTAATTCCCACCTTCTCCAAAGTCAAGAGCATAATGTGCAGATAAAAAAGGTGGAAAATAGCCTGCCACTCATTAGCATGCAGCGCCTGCCTGTTCATTTGCTTGCTGCGAATGAAAGTTCTGACACTCAGCGCCTTGTGCAATACGAGAATAGTCCTCTTCAGACTGCCTCGTGTCCTTACTGCCATGGAAAGGTCATCGGCAGAGGTGTGCGCTCACCAACCTGGCTCACTGCTCTTCACTGGCCCACCTGGGAGAGGGGTTAGCTGGGGGTATTGATTCAGGGAGAACCTCATTACCTGCTGAATCAACATATTATTGCCATGTTTCACCTAGCCGAATTGTTTACAAGTGTCTTTAGCGCGGGCAAAAGCCTGCTCTGGTGGGCCATGACCGCATTCATTAGTCCCTGACCCCGGTGATTATGTGTTATCTGATACGCTGCTATCTGGCTTGGCCGCATGAGCAGGGCCACTGGCCTGCATCGGCCTGGGCCCATTACAAGCCCTCTCCTTTTCTCTCTCCGTTTTTCTCTCCCTCTCCCCCTCGATCCCTCTGTCTGTGCTCCCTATGAATGTACCCATTAGCCTGCCGATGTGTAAATTGTTTTCACCTGCACTGCGGGCAGATGGGGAGCAGTGTCTCTGTCGTGATTTCCTATGCATGAGCTTTCTAATCAGTCAGAGAGTAACACGATTCCCTTGCTCCTTGCTAGAAAAAGGTGAGCTTGCGCGAGCATGCACACATACATTACATACATGCACACACATGCACTCACAATCTGCAATCAATATGTATGCTGTGTTGTGGGGATATTGGTGCAGTGGCAGCGGTGACAGAGTTCATTATATGAGCTCGCCTTACAACGCCGTGATGGCTTAAAACAGCGGAGAGGGCCTGGGCCCCCGGCTGATCCTTGCCTCCGCCATTCCCAATTTCAGTTCAAATCGAAGGATAATTTGACCTGGAAGACTAAACCCACATAAGCGCAATGACATCCAGTAGCAGTGTCAACTGAGTGTGACCCACAGAAGAGACAGGAGAGGATGCCCCTCACGCAAACAAATAAAGCATTCCCTAATGCCTTAATGTGGATGTGACATGTGCCCCGTGGGCCTCTCCTGGAGAAGGGGGTCAAATGAGCCATCCAGGACTGGATTGGCTCTTTGGGTGTAGGAAGAGGTGCTCATATAATGAGCTGTCTATTCCTGGCTGCTTGTCTATTCTGGCTCCTCAGACAGAAAGTTACACATTTTGGTAGAATACTCTTAAAAATGAAGATACTGTATCAAAATTGCTGATTATTTGTCTACTGTGATTGCATTTTTACTGTATATGCAATGTTTTTGCAATTATGCTGCAAGGTACAGTTAAAAAAGACCCACAACTTCTACATTATAGGTGTAACAGTCCTCTAATTTATTCAAAACCTGGCTCTACATTAGTTCAGAACACGGGATACTGATACACAGTAAGACAAAACCAAATAAAACACAAGCTACTATCTTGTTCAACATCAATGATAGGTTCACTTCAGTGCAAATCAACACTACCACTGAGCCTGAGCTGGTAAACATGGAGGTGGATGGGCACCGTCTTAACAAGGCCGGGGATCAGTGTAACCAACAGGCCCACTACAGGAGCAAACATCAAGCTCTGGCTGTCAGATGCCTGACCCAAACAGCTAAGCTCACATGAATCTCATCATCTGACAACCACACACGCTGCCCTTATTCACTGCTGTGTACCACACCGCCCCTGCTATCAGCTGTCGGTCAAACTCCAGGCTTACAGACTCTTGTCAAACTGAGAGAAGATCCTCTTCTTCTTGTCTCTCTCGCCCACTGACAGGATCTGCGACACGGACTGTGAGCATGTTAAAAATGATTGGAAAGAGGCAAGCGGCAGATACCCAAAAGGAAAGAATACAAAAATTAAAGTAAACAGAGAATGAATCCACCCTGCAAACTACAACATCACAAGGCGTGCATGCGCTAACAACAGGCCACTGTCATTAGACCTGGGAGTCTTTGTTCAAAAACACACTGAAGCATTGTGCTCTCAGACAGCACTCGAGACTGCCCTGATGTTTATTCAAATAACCAACAAGTGCAGCATCATGGTGAATCTGATCTTCTCACTCATCCTTAGTGATAGAAGAGACAACATCTACAGAAAAAAAAATAAAGTTTAGAGAGACAACTCAGGGAAAAACATGTTCACGGTGTGTCTTAATACAGTTTGGCACAGCCTCTTGGTGTTCAATTTCTTCTTACAGTAAGTCGCAAATGAAAAGGCAAACATTGGAAACTAGTTCCCCTCCATCCCATTCTATTTTGTCAGCTTTCTTTTCCATGAAATTATAAAAGGGGATTTGTTGCAGCTTTTCATCCACTTGATAGCACTTAACTAATTGCTGTCCTCTCATAGACAAAAATGTACTCACAAAACATAGACACACAAATAAACCATATGCAGGCATGCAGGCGCATGTGTGCACACACAAACATATAAAGATTGGTCTGTGATATTTGGTACCCTTTTTAAAATTTAATCAGACCTGGTTTTGAACAGATACTACTAATATCATCATCTGGACACATTTAATCTTTTTAATATAACCTGTGAAAATCAAACTATACCTGTGCCAACTACAAGTGGCTACTTTTTGAAACGATTATAAAAGCCCGGTCAAATCTCTTTCGCTAGTGCTATCAGCCAATTATAGAAACAAGTGACCATTGAATTAACACATGAAACTTGAAAGCTTTTGCACTCTGATGTAGAATGCTCTCTGGAAAAAATATGTCAGACCTTAATTTGCAATTTCACAGGGAGTCACCTGAGTTCTGGGCAAACAATAGGCTTTAACTCAATGGAAACACAATGGCATTGTAAATGTTAAAATGTGTTGATAAATGTCACAGTTCTCCCTCAACATTTTTGTAAATGCTATCCAGAGAGAACTATAAATGAATAACAAATGTTCAAACTAAGTTCATTTTAAACTTGCCACAATAGGCTACTCCTACGCCTTTTTTCTTCACAGATGAGAATTGAGGATTTGCATTAACCCCAAACACTGCTTCAGTATCTAAGTGATAGTGAAAGGAGTGAAGGGAGGGCCATGAAAACCAGAGCTGTGGAAGAACAGCCACAAAAGACAGATAAACCCAACACCACAGAGAGGTGAGCCAACTGTTCCAAGTCTCACACAAGGGGAGGAAGAAAAAGGGAGGGGGTGGAGAAGATAATTTAGCATTTGTGTAAGCTGTTTATCAAATTATTAACTGCACAGATGTTTCTGACTAGCTAGGGGCTGAACATGGGCTCTGCCAGGCAGGGGAACAAAGGTCTGACGGATTCAACGGAGATGTGCACTGAATATCAATTTAATTTACTAGCTGTTAATTCTCATGCAAATTGTGACCTCTGTTAGGGCATATCAATGGCCATACACATTGTATGTCTTCAGAGGAGCAGCAGGCAGAAACACTGTATGAAACTACAAATAGGAAAAATAATATTTTCAGTGCAGCCATTCATGTAGTAAGATTTGAAAAACGTATGCATGGCACTTTTTTGTATTTGCCGATAAACAGTTGTAAAGACTATACCTACTCTATCATCAAAACTGTTTTTATTATGCACTATTTGGGCTATATACGTTTTTATAACTAGGAAGGAACAATACTGTAGATAATTCACAGTAGCGTTCAAATGAATGATACGGTGATAAGAACACAGTGTGGAGGAAGAAAATAGTATTTGAGCCCTGTAGTTTTTTTTATGCATTTGTCTATGCAAAGTGCCATAAATCATACTCACCAACATGTATTAAGACACATGTTGAATCCAGGCTTTTCACCTTAATTGGAGTGTCTCTACTTTTAATGCAATCTCACTCTTGGCAGCAGTGCATCTTGATAAGTTTTCCGCCTGATACACAAAGAAGGGGGAGAACAAAACAATCACATTAAACAGTGGCAAACATTTCTATATTGTGAACCGCAATCTGCTGCAAATAATCATGAATGCGTGGTATGACAGCCCACAAAGGTTGATGACTGACATCAACCTCAGCTGAGCTCAGCTGGAACTGCAATGTTGCACGTCCCATTTTCTTCATCACCTCCAAAGTACCGCCTTTCAGCTCTCCACAGCACAAACAAAAAGCCTGGCAACAATATCAATTATACATGCAGGAGGCAAACAAGGGGATTTATTTCACAACAAATAGCCTCATAGAGAGATGCTGAATAGGGCAGATTAGCATTAGAAAAGGACAACAAAACTCCCCAGTTCAACCGCTAAAGAGCAATTTGATGGGATAGGAAATGGGGAAATTGCTTGATTAGGGTATGCATTTGGAGGGGCTGTCAATTTCAGAATCCCAGCAAGGATATGTAGTGTTGTCGCTTTGACAAATGACATGCTGCTGCAGTCAAAACATGACATTATGAGAACTGTCAGTGGTGAACTTTGATAATGCAAGACAAGATCAGGGGGTGATACAGCAGCCATCTGAGTAAACGAGACATCAATCTGTATCTGATAGAGAGGGGAAGCTTATCAAATGAAGACAAAGAATGCCTTTTGATGGCTGGTATTTAGCCACGTCAGGTACTGACATTTTTTTGTCAGCAAATGGTAGTAGTTTCTGAACTATGAGGTCCTATTTCATCCTGGAAGTATCATTTATACTTCATTTTAATTAGTTTTATTGTGTTTACAATCAATGTACCTTGGTAAACGCGAAATGGCACCTATATATATCACGTTTAAACGTTTATTAACGTCCAACACTATCAAGGGACTCTGTGTTTCAGTAAATATTCAAGGGTTTTAAATATGTTTTCTTACCTGACACACAAAATAGGAGTTTTGTGACTGCAAGGCCACTGTTTTTAAATCGTAAACAGCATCATTTCACCGTGTACAGTTGGTTTAAAAAGTGCACTAGCAAGGGGAGCTCGCACCACGTGCTCTCTGTGTTTATCAGCAGGGATTTCTGGGAAGCGGTGCTCATGGTAACCAACGTAAACACCAGCCACCCTCTCTTTCCCTCCCCCTCCCCCTCCTCCTCCTCTTCTTCCTCTTCCTCCTCCTCCTCCTTGTCTTGGATCTGCAGCAGCGCCAAATTGGGCGAAAAATGACCAGCACGGCTCGCGGCGAGGACCAGTATTATGAAACGATAACATCGATTCAACAAAGCATGCATAAAAGGTGAGTTCTCCCTCTGCTCCTGTCAACGGGGACCGCGACCTGGAGGAGACCGCGGACCAGAGCTGTGATCTCTGCTGCCTGGTAGCCTCCTCCTGCCGCTTGCCACAGGGAGGCAACAGGCTAACCTAGCTGCTTAGCTTACCGGCAAAGACAGGGTAGACGAAGATGCTAGTTTAATACCCTGTTTACCTCGGACGCTACCTTTAGCTACCAGCAGTAAGGTTAAAGCTGTTCTGTATGTAACTTAAGTTAATACAGGCGAATGGAAAGCTAACCCTGACACAACTGTGAAACATTAGCGCCCGCATATTAACGTTAGCCAAAGTTCCTGTGAAGCTAATGCTCGGGCTTTTTTGTATGTCAGCATGAACAAACGCATGTAACGTCAGCTAGTTCACCTGTCTAAACGAGCAAACCCATTACACGCGTTTGTTAATGGGTGCTGATAACGAGTAAATGCCGTTATTATTGCTGATAATTAACTTAGCCACCAATTAGCCTTGTTAGCAAGGCGCTGGGATGCTGCAGGGGTCGCTGACAGTCCTGTGTGTGCAGGGAGAAACGGAGGCTGGAGCTGGAGAGGGAACTGTTTGCTTACTCCAGATCTGATAAGAGAATGTAAGTCACACAGATTACTGTTTATAAAAAAAATACTGTTTACCGTACCGTGTTCTTCTCCCTTGACTTTCACATTGAGCGTTCATTTTAATGTATGAAATATTTAGGTAGAGAATCCTCACTGCATACAAGTCACTATTTTTTTTATTTATTTAAAATTACCACATATATAATGAGTATACAAACTGTACCTACACTATATATTCGCACAGTCATGTTATTTTTTTGTGTGCATTTGTGTGAATCAATCAATCAATTTTTTTTTTTTGTTCAATAAAAACCACCCTCATACTTAAGTGTGTTACAAGCACAATGTGCATTTGGATATACTAGAGGATCCTGTTTCCACTGTAAATTGATTCTCATAAATATTAACATGCCAGGTCAAAGCAGCAGAGCTGAGGTTGATAGAGGAGTTGAGAATACGATTTAAATTTAACAAAAAAACAACAACATAATAAATAAATAATAAAAACATATTGTGCTTAACCTTTTCTTGTGAAAAGTCTTGCTCTTATTTTTTTGACAGTGGCCCTAGATAATATTTCTTTGGAATAATAGTTCTCCACTGCCTTCAGCTCACAGATAAAGTGTTCCAAACTGCGCAGTTATCTCAAGGAAATCTGTGACAGGGAAGCACGAGCGAAAATGAGAAACCTTGAGCTTCTGAGAGATGTGGAGTGCATAGAAATCAGCATGAAGGAATATCGTCCTGACCGTGGCCCCCTGCAACAACAAAAGGTATAATACACACACACGCACACAATTTCATTTGTTCATTGGAGTCGTTTTTTAATGTTACTGAGTTATGGTAAAAGCAGTCTGAGCAAACACTCTATCCACTGAGGTCCATCCAGGTTTAGACAGTTATACCCCTTACTAAAACATTTTGATCAAATTTAATAATTATTAAGTCATTTTTATAACACTTGTTCTAACAGGTTACTAACAGGAGGCAATTTTCCTGTGACTTTAGAATAAGAACAACACACTCGCACACCTACAATATAATAAAATGAAGCATGTTCTTACACATTTGCCTTTATGCTGCACATTCATTTTAACACAGAGTAGAAATATTTGCTTTCAATTGCTTGATGTGACAATAGTAAACACTCAAACTGTGCAATTTATCACGACAAGCAAATGAACGAGGGAGAAAACAATGAGCCAGTCAGATTATCACTTAAAACTCAACGACAGTGCTTGACAGCTTAATATCAAATTAACAAAATTGGCTAATTATGACTCGCTGAGTTAATTGCCCAATATAGAGACTCTGAAGTGCTCCAGAGGTTTAGTCATTCTCTCCCCTCAAGCAGTTGGTTTATTTCCTCTTGATGCTTTATGAGTCCTACATGTTTGTTGTTATTTTGGTTGTCCTGTTGCTCTTTGTTTCAATTGTGTAAAGTCACCCAGATTGTTTCTGATTTTAACTGATGTTTTGGTACAGTGAAAATGGACAGTGAGCAAAGTGACACATACACATGCTGAGATGCATACATTTATAACGATTTTAGTATAATCTTTGTTAGTATCGATTGAGCAAAACATTCAAAAACAAGAGTGGATAAATGAGAAATTATGAAAGCTGTCTTTTAAAGGCCCTACTTCTGTAAACTACCATTGTTTGATGAAAAAGTGTGGCATGTTTGAGCTAATCCAAGTGCCCTGAAGGCCATTAGATTTTTTTAATTGGAGATGGGATTAAGGCAGTTAGTCTGGCCGGTCAGATAAAAGTTAAAGGGTTTGAGCTTTTGCACAGAGGACACTCACTAGGGAAAACCCGCTGTGATTGACTGATGCTTGACGTTGTCACTTTTGCTTTCGTATCGTCTGGTTTTACACAGAATGCAGATAATCTTCAAAAGCGATATCACAGCATTATATGTTCACATGCAGCGTCAGTTTCCCTGCCACATTTCAGTTAAATGTTATGATTATCATCTTTCTGCCATTTATTTTCATATTATTAATAATGTAGATATTTTCTTCCATTTATTCTATCTATCTATCTATCTTCCTTATTTTTTGACAGACTGACTTTTTCAAGAAGATTTCTAGATTTATGGAAGCAAGGAAGAAAATGGAGCAAGAGCTTGGCACAGCAACGGTAATGCTAATGTGTCCCACAAATGCATATACTACTAGCATAGTAATAAGAATAGCATTCATCTTTGGAAATAACATAATACATCATGTATTTTACACATATTTACATCACATCGTCAACTATGTATTGTTTGTATTGTGTCTGTGTG